AAGCTCCAAATCTAAGCCGAAGAAGAGAGCTAGACGCTCCAACCGCACTGCAGCGTCTGTGACTCTAAATCCACTGGGTCGACTCACTCTCATAACTGGACAAGCCTCAAACATGCCTGCTTCCACTTCTCCAACCATAGACACTTTACTTGGAAATTCAGCCATGACACTGACAGCTCAGAGCCGAAAGCAATCCGGTGCAGATAACAATCAGGTAACTTACGCATCGATTGCCTCGACAAACACACCGGTAGCGACACACATAGGTCCATCTTATGTACCGAGCACGCGTGACGTAAAGCAGCTTCTATCGTCAACTCCAGTGGTGCCTTCTAAACAACCCAAATTGCCGGCAAAAGATATAAAGCTAACATGCACTAGACAAAACCACGCTGCGTTAATTATTGTGTGCACCAACGATCCCGAGAACAAATCTGGCACAATAAAAGGTAAGTTGCAAGGTGATCGCAACCAGTGGAGTTCCATCTGCGATGCGATTGATATTCGGGTTGAACCTGCAATGCTGCAGCGCGTAGCGCGTCACCCGACCTCAGTGCACTCTGGTGAACCTCGAATTCTTCGAGTAATACAAAACGCAGCGGAGAAGACAGAGGCTGTCCTGCTCTCAGCAGTTCGTCTTCGCAACTCACCGAACGGAGTGCGCATATTACCCCATCTACCGCGGAAAGATCGCCCAAAAGAACCAGTTAACCAACTCGGCATTCCAATAGGGAGAGAAAGAAAACAAGATTTGTTCATAGTGTTCCCGAGATTCTACATACTTCTGATCACGATGCGCAAACACATGACCGAGAGCAGTGGTGCTACATCTGCGAAGCACTCTCTGTGGTCAACGTTATTGCCAAATCCCTGACAAGCGTTCCGCCATCACCTAACTACAAGGGCTGCGGTCCAAGATTAATGAAGTAATATTAAACTCCGAGGGAATGATGTAAGTTCTGTTGGATAGCTGGTTAAATTATCGAGTCAGGTTGCCAACAGAGATCCGGCTAAAGGCAGCAGACGAACGGCCAAAGGTCGTAAGCAATTCGATAAAACTTGCAAACGCTGCAAATTCTTTATCTGCACAGTCCTGCGAAGAGACGGACACAACAGCACCCACGGCACACAACAGGACAGAACGCAGCACGAGTGAAACTTCTGTTCAGGAACACTCAATAATGTCATGCAACTTGACTGAAATTCATAAAGCAAAAAAGCGATTAACGGCCGGCTCAACAACTAACAAAACGTTGACATCCATCAACGCACTCCTAACAACAAAAGCCCTATCTTGTATATACACAAACGCCTGAGGCATTCTAAGTAAGTTGGCCGAACTTAGAAAACTCCATGCCTCACAAACGCGGGACCTCGTCATGATTACCGAGACCTGATTAAACCTTGAGATAACCGATTCTGAGGTCAATTTACCCGTATGCTGCTTCGGACCGATAGAACCGGAAGGGGTGGCGTTGTGATTCTTTATTATAATACAAACCTCCGATGTGAAGTTATCGATCACCCGGAAATCCGAGCTCCCGATTCGCTTTGGTGCCGCCTATGGTTGCGAAACAAGGACACATGTCTACTAGCCGTGATTTACCGCCCACCAAACTCAACGTCGGAAATGGACTCCAAACTAAAGCACGTCTTTGAGTTTGCTTTGAACAAGTCCTACACCCACATTCTTATAGCTGGGAACATAAACGTGCACGACATAGAAATGCCAGCAACCAACGGTACGCAGTTTAAAGCCTGCTTGTAAGAGCTAATTGCTAGCCATCCTCTGTACAACCACGGAACCTCTCCCACCAGATTTCGAACTGCTAACAGGCCGTCGATACTGGATCTTGTGCTCACTAACGAAGAACGTATGGTTGACGGGATAGTTACAAGCACACCATTGGGTCGTAGTGATCATGTTACTCTACTCCTCGACTATATATGCTATGCGGAGTATCCTGAAAAGGAGGATGATAAAGTGCACACTGTCACGCACTATAATGTGTTATCTAAGCTTGTTAAGAATACGTCTTGGACTTTCTTAACCGAATTCCCATCAGATGTTGTCTGGGAAACCTTTACAAAGACATTCAGCACACTGGTAGCGCACGCATCGGAACAGAAGTCCTTCCAACCCAAAAACAGGCATAAATCATTTCTGAGGAGCAGTGCACGTAAATATATGCTCCGGAGGGATTTGGCATGACGAGATCACAAGGATTGATCGAATGCCGAAACCTGGACTGCATACGTGACACATCGTAACTTCTGTGTAAAACTGATCCGCGAAGACAAGGAGTTAATGAAGCGATTCTGCTCGAACCGCAAACTTCTGTACAGGCACATTAACGGCCTTCGAAAGGTGAAGCGGGGGATTCCAGCACTAGTCACGGCTGATGGGTGCACGCGATCAGCAATGGAAGCAGCTGATCTCCTACGGCTTCATTACTCCCAACCTCTCCAGCAGGTAACGAGCCCAAATATTCTCCTCGGTTCTATTACTCCACCGTCGGGTTTAGAAAACATCACCTTCACTACGCAAGCTGTGTTGAAGAAGTTATTATCCTTGCGTATCCACAGTTCTCCTGGAGTCGACAACATCCGACCAGATGCTCTTCAGGTGGTAGCTAGTGATCTAGCAGAACCACTGGCCGTATTCTATCAGCGATGTCTAGAAGAGAACCATATTCCACCAGTATGAAAGCGAGGGGTCATCACTCCTATCCATAAAGGAGGTAGCCGCCGCACTGACGCTACCAACAACCGTCCAGTAACACTACTTCCTGTACTATCCAAATTGACGGAGTCAATCATCGCAGATGCGTTGATGCAGTATCTGAAAAGCCACAAGTTAATAGCCCCAGAGCAACATGGCTTTCGTCAAAAGCCTTCATGTAATACTAACCCATTAATTGCACGTAATAGCTGGACTGAAGCTGTTGATGATGGAGCAAGAGTCAATGTCGTCTACCTGGACTTTTCAAAAGCGTTTGATCGCTTAGACCATCGAATTCTCCTTCAGAAACTTCAGAACTACGGCATTGTCGACTCAATCCTGAGTTGGATTAGCAATTTTCTACACGGACCACAGCTAGAGGTGAGAATCCGAGAATCATTGACTGATGCAATCGATGTGGTGTGCCTTGTACCACAAGGCTCAATTCTTGGACCTCGTCTATCCTTGATGTTCATTAACGATTTGGCGAGAGCAATTGCTTCCGATTGCCTATTTTCGCTGATGATATCAAAATATGGCGAAGGATCAGAGGACCGGACGACCACGAACGGCTCCAGTGCGATCTTAACACAGTGTCGAACTGGTCAGTTCAAAGCGCCCTACCATTCAACGTAGACAAATGTCGCGTTGTACAATTACGCCATAGACATAACTACAGCTATTTGCTTGGGACAAACGGATTGCAGACCAGCTCCCAGGAACGTGACCTTGGTGTGCTCGTACAGAACGGCCTCAACTGTTCAAAACAGGCTGAGGTAGCTGCGAAAAGATGCAACCAGCACATCGGCATGTTGCGAAGGGCATTCGGGAGATTTGACCCATCAATCTTCCCAATGATGCATAATTCCTACGTGCGCTCGCATGTTGAATACACTATCCAAGCTTGGCAACCATGGTTGAAGTGCGACCTAGAGGCGTTAGAGGCACCACAACGAAGAGCAATAAAGAATGTAAAAGGCCTGCGCTATCACTCTTACCACCGAAGACTGAAGTTGCTGGGAATGTTCAGCGGACGCTATCGAAGACTGCGCAGTGACCTCATATTTCAGTATCAGATATTGAGTGACCCCAAGCACGTATGCCACCATTTGCTGAAACCTAGCCACAACACGCAGTTCAGGGATAACTGTTTAAATGTTACGGAACTATATAGCCGTCTAAATTGTCGACGTAATTATTTTTCCATTCGAGGTTGCCAACCCTGGAACGCACTCCCAGACTCCGTTGTATCCTCTCCTACCTTGGACGTTTTCAAGAACGATTATACGTTGCTCTTAGCTCCCAGCATTTTGTTACCTAAACTCCTCTACTGTGGATTACGCCAAGCATGCTTTTCACCAGGATTTATGTCTCAAATGGACCCAAGTGTGAGACCATATTTTACTTTTCTCATGCCTTATATCAACGAGCACTGCACCCCAGTGTATTCCTGAGCGTTTACGCTCGTGTTTTTAATTTAACACTGATGTTATTTATCAAAGTATTCATCTAGGCAGACGTTCGGTAAATGACCCAGATATATTTTGATTTCATCATATTCACTCCAATCATCCTACAGGATGTGTCAAGCACTAGCTTTTATCGCGTAAGCAATCATTGTTCATTGGTCATTGAGCCCTTGTGAAACGAAATGAACGATTCAAACGGTATTGGAAAATAAATCACATTTGATCTTGCAGGGCAGTCCTGTAATTTAAACCGGTGTTTCCTCTGTACCTTATGATCGGATCAGCTATCCTGGGCGGCGTTTCATCTAGGTGGAATATACGCATGAATAAAATAGTTTTTCAGTTGTATTTCCCTGCATATCAGCCCGTGGTCTAAAGGACCGTAAGCCTGTATTGTAACCTGAGGTCGCGGGTTCAAACCTGCGTAAAGCGGCCCTCCAAGTATGTTTAACCCAGCCGTGACCGGTGATGGGTGCGTGGGGTAGCGAAGCGTCGGAACGACGCACCGGCATATTGCTGCTGCTTTTTTTTATTCCCCTCCATACGTCAAAACAATGCTTCCATGCACACACCATTTTGGTGAGGCCAGCCGAAAATCGATCTCACGACAGTACCACTGCTCTGAGTTAGGGTGTTACTGAGTTATTGGCCAGATGGCTGCGCAATTTTATAGATTTTCCATCCGCCATAAGTGCATCTGCCACTTATTTCCACCAGTAGAGTGCAATGACATCGAATGTCAGCAAATTGGAGGGTACATAAATTGCAAAAGGCACCAAATCACGAGTCTCACTATCACCATCACGAAGATGGTGATGCACTTATGCGTGATTATTCTTGGTGTACTGTTTGGCATTTCCAACGGTCATGGTTGGGGTATGGGATGGGACATGATGTACGGACATAACGGGCCATTTTACAATGGTCTGCCAATGCCCACTATGGGATTGCACGGGGGACAGTGGAATGAGTTCGCTCCCGGCATCCCTCCTCTTCCCCACAATCTGTACAACCCTGAGCAAGGTAAAGGCTCCAGCTTCAGCAACACAGAGACAACGGAACGAAAGAAGCTGAGTTCGAAACTTACCGTTTACGGTGACAACAATAAGCAAAAGAATTCCGTTAGTGACAAATTCATCTTCGCCAAAACTAAGTACGGATCCGATTACAGTGGTAAACGTGGCGAAAAATACCACTCTGGCAAGTCAAAGTATGGGGACAAGAAGGAAAAAAGTAATAAATCAGATGAGTCCCAAAAGACTGAAGAAGATTACGACGGTGCGAGCTATGCACATAGAGAAGTGGGATACAATCCAAGTCATGTTTATGGTCCTGGTTATGGACATTTCGGACCTCAGGCATACGAAAAATACAGAATGATCAATAATTACAACCGAAATATCGACACATACGGCTACGACAGGGATGGATATGGTTTCGACTACCATGCTTGGGGCACGCCCCGATTTAATTTACCCTTTGAATGGCATAGATGGTAGATCTTGAAGAGTTTTTGTAAAGAATCTGTGATATATGCTTTGTGATCCACACTTTTTGTTATGTGCAACAAGAGCTGTAATCTGAGCATTGCGAACAACGCAGTTGATGAACGAGGACTACAGTACAAAGGCGCACAGTTCATCGTCATAGTGAAAAGGAAATCAAGCAGATAGAACGAGATGTGGGGAAAATATATAATATTCCAATGAATTATGTGTAATTCGAAACAGTTGAGTAAAAATACAGTAAATTTGTGATAACAGGCTAGCCTGATGGTCACTTTCTATCTCAATCGAGTTCTGTGTGCCCACGTTATGAATTATAAATGGGAATATTGTCAGAGCACCACTTTCGGTCACACCAATAAGCTGATAGGAGACGCGATGAATGGATCTTTGGAACTACCTAAAGAAGCCATCAATCTGGCCGCCTAAGTTTGTTCTAGTTGGAGCTCGCCCCCCAAGTTACAGACGCGAAATATTTCCGGTTCTGGGTTTCATTCTACCAGATAACGTGCAAATTAGCACCGGGATGTGAAAGTTCTAATATAATACGGGGCTGCATATGGAGCTCACAAGTGAAGCACACACTCCCGATATCAAAACTAAAGCGTACTACCATTGAGTCGAATGAAAATGACAAGGCAAAAAAACATAACCGTTCCGGATGCCATAGTAAGTGGACAGACTAACCATTGAGTATTGCGAAGTGCAACACCGCACCCACATACACAGTGTGTAGATTGCATGCATCTAAAAAATCAATTTTAGAGTGCTAGAATATTTTCCAAAAGTTCGAGCATTTATTAAACACGTTGCTTTGAGCAAACATTGCGGTGTGGACCACCGCATAGCCATGACACGGACCTCGAGTAGTGCAGTGGTTGAAGTAATTTATTGTTAGCTTAGTGGACACAAACAATTACACAACGCAATCACCAATTCGCTGGCAAGTTTAACAAACAGTGCAATAAAAAAGCAGAGCAACAAAGTCAAAGCAGTGTCCAGCTCGAGCGGCTGCGACAAAAAAGCCATGGGTCTCAGGGGAAGAAATTATGCAGAAGCATCATTGATAAAATGGTTGATAAAATGTAGAAATCGTGACCCTGTCAGCACAAGCTGGTGATAACAACGAGATGGAGAGTAGTAGTAATAATGTGAGAATGAGCCAGAAGCTAAACCGTCAGATGGAATAGTCTATAGAACGAACGCAAGAGCACCATTGACCCCGAGGTAGCGCGATAAGGTGTTCCAATCACTGGTGTGGCTAATACCTAGGACCCCGTACTGTGAGACGACAGTCCCCAAGTCGACCAAGCGGTTCGCTTTAGTTTCTCACTGGTCTTCGCTATGTCACTGACTGGCAATTTCTTGGATTCACCCAATTAGAAGACGTACGGGGGAGCAATACATCCGAGGTGGTTGGCATTAAGGTAGGTGGAACACTAGGCCAATTCAACGGGTTTAGCAGGCATCGAAACAAAACACAGGAGGATCAGCTGCAAAACAACACCCACTCCATCCTTCCGTCACATATGGGCAGTGCCTGCGCTGATCAAAATCCCGCAGTCCCCTAGAGTTTTCCGCGCACCAGCTATGCAGAAATACGGGCTACACCACAACGTTTCAACCTCCTTCCTTAACCAAAACACCGAGATTTTGCCGTCTCCACAATTGGCCAGGACGCCGAAAAGTCTCGAGAACCTTGGCAGTTAGTGACCCCTTGGGTGATATAAGGCGCTACGGTTTTCCAGGTAGGAAAATGATCGATCACATCAAGTGGCTGTTCGGTGATACTGAGAACTGGCGGTGAGTCAGTCCAGTCGTGTAACAGCACTTTGCATTTTGAAAGCGCAAAGCCCATACCAGTGTTTAGCGCTAAGCGTGATCCTACTCCATAGTTCTTGGATAGCAGCTGGGTCCGTTCTTAAGAGAGCTGCATTGCGCGTATGCTAGTTTTGACAGTCGATCGCCAAACAGAAATTGGACCCCAGGAAAGTGAAAGGAGGAAGGAGAGAGACATTCATGATCGTTTCGATAGGACTGTCCTTAAAAAGCGGGCATCGCTACAAACGGATACAAATGGTGATGTTCAATCACTGTCAAAGAGACAGCGTGCTTAATGCACCCTCTGACTAGGGGTAGAAGCCAGTTTGATATTCAATGGTTCGTTTCTCTCTAGTTGCCGCAACACGATCCATGTTATGGTATTCAAATATGGCCTTGCACAAGGTTCCCTCCCCAAGGAGTTACAAACACACACGCGCTGTGACGGCATTTTCGCACATTCGCGATATTGCAACATCGTCGTGTGTTTTTTATCAGGCAACTTTACTATTCCCCTATTTCTGCTTGAGTTTTCCAAAAACGAATTGAACAGAACCTACAAGAGGTATAACAACTCCGCAAGAAAGCATTGCGCAGGATGGAGGACTGTCATTCGGAGAAAAAAGTGACGGGCACAAACGCACCCACTGTACTTCGTACCCATATGCGTTCGCTCCTAAGGAAGATCGTGGAACTTAGAGGTACAATCAGCCAACATGAATGTTCACTGTTAGGGATCAAAATGCTGCAGATCTGGATCCATGGAATATACAGGATACAATCACAAAAGTAGATAGATTCAGTTGGCACCCTGCCGACAGTCCACGCGACTACCGAAGTCGAGGTGATGGTGGTGTTAACAATGTTGCTAATTTTCATTATATGTTGGTACTATCCACAACACATTAGCTACTTAGTGCTGAAGTGCAAATCAAATGGTATGGGCCAATAGTGCCAACATCTATACTCCTCCTGGTTGACTCAACTCTGGAGCAGATGAATTCGTGACGGTTACACCCGCAGTCGTTGGGCACATCGATCGCTCCCTACACATTTTCACTGGCAACTTCAAAATATTTGGTAGTATCATTGCTCTTCAGTGCAAAGTACTACATCCCACGCCTTTCGGGAAGGGCGGTGTTGTGCTCTCACGTTGCGATTTGAATTACGTGGACAAGGGGCGCAGATTGTACAGAAACGGACTGTGAATGTACTGGGCGCTCAAATGCCGTTTCTATACTCGATCTAACAACATCGCCACTGCCTTCTGCTCTTACATCATAAGACCAATGCTACAGTACGTCTCGCCCGCCCATTGTTCAAGTACCCGAGGTAGATCGAACACGTTCAAAACGTCGCTACCAGGATCATTCCCAGTTTAGGGGGTTTACCGTATGAAGACAGGTGCGAGAGACTGGGACTGTGCAACCTGTCCTAGTGTCGGAGGTGAGTCAACCTCAGCATGATCTACCGCATTCTATACATTGGTGACTTCTCCATACTGGGACCACTGCTACACTTGGGAACACCATGCAGCACATGAGGACAGCAGTATAAACATGTTTCGCAGGACCTGAAACAAGTTCCCTGCCTTCAGTGCTTCGAATAGGGAGTGGTTAGTAGTTAGAACAGCCTAATGAAACTTATGTTGGAAGTCAGTGCAGTAATTCGAAACACCGTTGAATTTGCCCTTCTCCACCGTTAGATTCAGAAGACGATTATCCACTGACCATGACATCTCACATTTGTGAGTCACAGGTTATTGAGACCCATAAATTGTTACGACGTAACGTGGGAACTTAAACTGAAAATTACCATATTGTCGTTTCGCCATATTGGGGCTCGCCAGTGGTGCGCATTCCCTCGGTCCACTGCTGAAGACCGAAGTCATGACCGCTAGCAGCTTGCTCTAACTAGCCAACAGCTTATGCTACTGAGCCATGAGGAACGGAGGCAGACTGTCATATATTTATTCACAGTCTGTTAACAGACACTGTGCCATCAGAACCATGGCAGAAGAAAAAAGTGAAGAAGATTGGAACACGAACTGTCATAACTTTCCAGTGAACTGGGATATGGTGCAGCCTATCCTTTACAGCTAGCAGGTTGCTACCATTGCAGAGGACAGTGCCGGCCTCCAGAGGTCACGACTTCCACTACACAACAGCCATGTCTACATAAAAATTGGAGATTATGTGGACGAATTTTTACATTACTGATGAGTAGGAATTTGGGAGAAAAGTTACTGGTTCGTACCGGCAACTTACAAGCCTGCTAGTCGAAGCCCTACCCGAAAAAGCACCAGGCGATCGTTTCGCCACATTGTAGATCGTTAGTAGTGCGAACTCCCTCGGAATCCTACAGTGAACCGAACCCCTGACAGCTAGTATCTTGCAACAACTAGCCGGCAACTTAGGCTATGGTGATTTGCAAGCTACTGTAACGAACCAGCAAAATTTCATCAAAATCCTCCTACTCATCATTATCAATACACGTTAGCCAAGGGCGAGAAACACATCTCAGCTAATGTGCCGCAATACTGAATACTGTATTGTGGGAGCAAGTATAGAACTAAATCTGTACAACCCCATCGCAGTATAAGCAAAAATGGTATTGTGGTAACCATGTGAGCAAGATCGATTGGCTCAACCTCATTGGTTGGCTTGCTGACTCATTCCTACCTTACCATTGGTCGTGTGTCTGTCATTTGACTCTCCGTTTAACGAGGGGTTGAGACTCAGTTGTACTTGGTTATTTTACGAGAAACATTTTTACCTGTTCTGCGACTTTCTTCATACAGCATCTATGGCGTCGCGGAGGCAAAAACGAACTTTTCCATCCAACCCCCATCTCCTTTTTGGACTGACCGCGGCAGCAGACCGACATCCGATGTCTGGTTCCGTTGGAAAACATCCTTCCTAAACTACTTGGCTTTAATCAGCGACCTCCCTACTGCTCTTAGTGAGGATAAAAGATTGAAGCTGTTTCGACATTTACTCGGAGATTAGGGACAGCGGCAATTCGATGATTTGGGTCTCCGGGGATGCAGATCGGTAATAGACGCCTTCAATGCTCTTTATCGTGCATGGAGTTACCAAATGAACTTGGTTACCGCGCGATATATTTTCTCCCGAATACACCAAGAATCAGGCGAACCCATGAATGATTTCATT